AAGCTCTTCACTCAGTGACAAATTCTTGCTCTTCTTGCCTAGGGTTCTTGTATCTTCTAAGACCTACCCCCCACAAAAAAAAAACCACTTTATATTTTTTATTTTTTTCTTTGTGTGTTGTAGAGATAATAAAATTAATTAGATAATAAAAATAATTAACAATGAGTTTACTGAATGTTGATTAGATGACTAGCACTGTATTAATACTCTCATATATTGTCTCTTTATATCCCAACAAAAACCCAGGGAGGTGGATACTTTTAATTCCTCCATTTTACAGGGGAGAAAACAGAAGTTTTGAAAGACTGAATAATTTGTAACATCACATGGTTAATAAATGGCAGACATGGGATTTGATACCATAGCTGCCCAACATTAAAGTCTGTGCCTTGAAATAAAAAAAAAAAAAAAAAAAATAAAGTCTGTGCCCTTAACTGCTAAGCTATGTTGTCTCCCATCATTATGCTGTTGGTGTTTCTTCATTTATATAGGACATATATGTTCCATTCAGACATACCTATGCAGGTGCTGTGGTCAGTCCATCTTTACTAGAAGCACATAAAATGACTAACTGAATTTCTCTCTTCCTCTTTAAAAATGTCTTCCCTTTCCCTGCCAAAAGTAGTATTTCCTATTGATACAATAGTACATGCATAAATAATCCAAAGTATACAGATTAGGGGTGCAGATGGGAGGAGATATGGAAACAAACAAATCACGTGCTGATGGAGATGCACGTGGACTGGGGGAAAATACATGAAGGTGCACCGAGGATAGAGAGACGAAGGCAGAATGAGAGGGATTGGAATTAGATAGAAACAGAAAGGGAAGTAGAATATACCTATTAGTTTTTTATTCCCGTGGGATTGGTGGAAAATGGTGAGCAGCAAAACTAAATTTGCATTTATTTGCTCAAACAGGTAATTGATTCGAAAATAAAGTTTAATAGTGTCCTCTGCTTAGAAGCAACACATTAAGGATTTTTACCTGCATATTCCATACTGCCTACTGAATTTTTTTTCTTCCTCTTTTGATCAAGAGTGCCCTGAAGTTACTAACCCACCTAGGATATGAGCTTCTTGATTGCAGGGGTGCTCTCTCTATTGTTGACCATTGATCTCTATGGTTCAGGATAGTATCTCGTATTTTGTAGGTATTCAAAATATAATTTTTTAATGGCCTTATGAAGGACCTCCTTTTTGCCAAATCTAAAGACCTCATCTCAAGATCTTGGCATGGGAAAACAAAGTGAAGGACAAGGAAAAGGTGACTAGCATGAAAGTTGCACAGAATAAGGGGCAAGACAAAGGGGGGAAGGATGCTTTTGATTAGCTAGGCTTGCAGTCTAGGTTATTTGGAATGGACTAGACTAAACCTCTCAGAATGAGGTATGTGGATGACAGCGTCTCAGGGCAGCTATGATGTGGTGAGTAAATGCCAGGCCCAAGCCCACGAAAGCCAGCATGGCACAAAACCTGCAATTAGCTTTTTAAGTAGTCTTTGAAAAGATCTACTTCTGAGGAATAAAGTGTGTAAAAATCTTGTTTATTTTAATGTGTGGTTAACATAACATCTGGTGAAAGTACGAGTTTTAAATTATTTATCATTGCAAAGTAGAACTGTACCTGCTAATCAAACTCAATAATAATTAATTAAAATAACAGGGCATTTTTATTTGGAAAGTCTTTGTGGGTATGGAAAGTCAATGGACTTTCTCTTTTCTGCGGTGCCCCTTCCCCCACGTTGTCTGCAGGGGTTTGGTGTACAGAGGGCATGAGTCATCTTTAATAAGTATGAATTAATATTAGGGTACATATTATGTTTGAGGACATAAAAGTGTCATTTCTTGATTATTACTTGGTTTTATATATGTTAAAAAGCATTCAGCACACTCTTTCCAATCCTGTCATTCTGTTGGTCTATCCTCAGTGCCCAAAATAGAGCTGGCAGCAGAAAAGATGCCCCATAAAAATGTGTTGAAGAGTGAATGAATGAATCTGCAGCTCTGAGCCTTGGGGCCACTCTATTTTGGCTAATTTGCTCCACTACCACTCAAGATCCAGGATGAATTCTTTCTTTTAGTTCCCTAAATCCAAAGGAAAGTTAGTTCATTTCCAGTCTAGCCACAGCTATACTGCATAGGGCCATAGAATTATTATTTTTTTTCCAAAATGGAAAATTGCCTTAATGTTTATTTAGCTTTAAAAATACGTATATATGATCTTTGTGAAAGAATTAGACAATACCAAAGCCAAAAGGAAATTAAAAATGACCACCAATGCCCCAGAGGAAACACCCAGTCCCATTTTAGAGGAGGAAGCCAAGGTCTAGAGCTAAAGGAAGGGACTTGTCCAGGGTCTCATGTGCTCTTTGTCTTCAGACCCAAACCACAATTTTCGATGGCCCTTAATTTCTGGTTCTGGCCATCTGTTTCCTGTACACACCCTGCACTTTCCCATTAAAGTTGGCTGGACCATAAATCCTGACTTTCACTATTCCCATAAATGATCAGATTTTACAAAGTCCTGAAGGGTGAACAAGGATTTACCAAATCTCAGAGTAACAGGATTAGAAGGTTCACCTTGAAATGTGAAAAGATAAACTTAGTACAAATATAAGGAAATACTTAAGTACTTCTCTCTCTTAAGATGAAATAAAGAAAGAGAAAGGAGAGAAAGAGAAAGGAGAGAAAAGAAAGAACAGAAAACAAGGAAAAGAAAGCAGATGGAATATAATATTCCAAGAGAAATAATATAGACAAAAATGTAAGTTAAATAAGGTTAGGATAAATTCGTGTAAATTTATTTTAGGTTATTAAAGGTACCTAACTAAGCTTTACTGTGTACATTCCTTTTAAGTCTGACATTAAAGGAAGACAAATCTTATTAAAGGAAGACACCTCTTATTCTGTCCAATGCTGTGTCATCTGAACTCAGGTTCTCCTGATGGCCTACAGAATATCTTGATCCAACTAATATTTATTAAGCACCAACCAGGTTTAAGTGTCTGTACTGGGGATGGGAAAAATAATGGTAACAAACAGGCAGATATGGTTTCTGCCTTTAAGTACCTCACAGCATGCAAGGAAACCAAAGTACAGCAGGACCAGAGACCAGGTCAGGCCAGAGTACAGGGGCTGGCCTAAAAGAGCTGGGGCTAGAGAGATTCTGGGTGTTTTCTCTGACCACCAAAGAATGAAATCCTTTCCAGATTTCCCATCTGGGACAATGCATAGACCTTCCTTTCAACTCCTAAGACTTAGATTCTTTGGAATTATCTTTGAGTTTTCCTTCTCCTGAAAGGTTTGCTAGTTCTCCCTCTATAAAGATTCTCATAGTTGATCATTCTTCATTTCCATACTCACCGCCCTGATTCAGGCCCTCATCACTGTATACTCAATATCAACTCTACCGGGGCCAATGTCCCCGTGTTCTAGTCCACTGTAGATGACTTTCTGCAACACACTTTCATCACACACGACTCCTTTGTTAAGCCTCTGTCTGTTCCTTTTATGTGAAGCAGAAACAACTAAGATGTGCAAGTTCAACCCCTTTTTCCTAAGCACTCAGCAGGTTTCTTGTGCCAGGATTCTTATTTCTGCCTCTGAGCGTTTGCTGGCACCACCATTCCCTCACCTAGACAGCCTCCCTTTTCCTCTCCATCAGCATCACTACTTCCTCCGTGGCTTACCACTTCCAAGAAACTTTTTCTGATCAGTTTCAACGCAGGGGATGACTGCCTTTCCTTCTCTTGGCATTAACGTTTAGCTCTGGCTATATTGCTATGTCTTTTCTTACTTGTTTAGCTAGTGATAATGGTCGACAATCATAATAGCTATCATTTGTGAAAAACCCACTATGTACCAGGTACCAGGCTAGGCTGTTTATGAAGTTCACACATCTTTACAACAACCACACAAGCTATGTGGATATTAAGCCTATTTTGTAAATAATGCAACTATAGCTTAGAGGGAAGTCACTTGCTCATGGCCACACAGCTCATGTGGGGAACAGAGCTAGGATCTGAACCCACAGAATGCGGGTACCATTCATAGCGCCATGTGTATGTGCTTAGCCATTCTGTGAACGGCAGCCGACTCTGGCCGAGTTTATCTTCTTTTGCATTCGCCACACAAATAAGTTGAACATAGGAATGATACTCTGTTATAGGTGTATATTTCCAGTTTTCTACTGCAGGATTGCTAAGAGATCACATCACCACCATCTTTTCATCTGTGTATTGGAAATACTGGCAGGCAAAATTGATTTGATTTTAAGATCATTGTTTTAACATTTTTCTCCCTGTGACTGCCTACTCTGCTTTCTCAATAGATTTAAGCCATGTTAAATGCCACTGTCCTTTGCTCTGAGGTCTAAACATTTTAAAATATGCATTTATGCTGTGGGTTCCATACCCCAATGCTTTCTTTATCTCCCCAACCTACCCTCAAAGTCACCACTACAGACGCCTCACACAACATAACATCTTCCCACTGCACCCAGAGTCCTGCAGTAACAGTCTGTGATTATTAACCTGTACTATACAGATCACTGGATTTGGATGCTTTTCTAATAAGAATAAACATTTGTCATGAGATTTCTTCGTGGCTTTTTGCCTTTACTTTTCTTTAGATTGAATATTGTCATTTTCTAAATGGTTCCCAATATTTAATATTTGGCATTTTTCTGTCATTTCAATATTATATGTGCCTTTTAAACGTTTATTCACACATCACCTTTGTCATTTTAAAATTCCCACACGGAAGGTCTTGATTAAATGTAACTATTTGGCTCTTCTTAAATACTTTTCGTGATGCTTATTTGTTTGTTTTCCTTTTGTAATACAGAATTTAGAGTCTTCACTGGAAAATTTTCCATACCTAGTTTCTCAAGCAGGTAAGGGTGCGATATGACCACATTTGGGCCTTCAGAGGAATAGTCTTTGCGGCCTGAAACCAACATTGTTAATAATGGCAAGTATTTTTCAACCCAGATCCTTACCTTTCTGCTTCGAGTCGCATCTCCTCTCTCTTTTGCCTCCTAAGTTCTCTGCGACGTTCAAAATCATCCATGGTGTGGTTTCAGGTTTAGGAAGACCAGATAACGTCTGGATCTGAAGGGGAGAAGGTAGAGTCGATATCATAGATGACTCAGAGTATTAGCTCTCATGAATTGCTTTTCTTCCACTTCCCCCCATTTTTTTCACCTCCCTTATTTTTCTTTACTCTATAAGAAAAATATGTTAGAAAGTTGGTAGGCAGACAGTGATCAGTTTCTGACTCCTGAGCTGAGTTAAATTCAGACTCATTCATGAAATGATCAGAGACAAATAAGTAAGATCCCAGGATTACATTAAAATACAAAAGATCTCAGGAGACAGAGAGGTTTTGAAGGCTTGCAATTCTACTGAATGATTTTGTTCTTTGTAACTTGCTGAACCCTAGACAAAAATTAGGAAAAGGTGAACAAAGAGAGAGGAGAAAAACAGAAGAGTGGTAAACAAAAAAGGAAAGTGGCAAGGAAAGGAATATGTAGGAACTAAGACAGAAGTAAAAGAGAAACAAAATAATACAGTATCTAGGCATACAATGTGCATATTCTAAAAGAAGCAACAGAATTTTAATAAAGACTACAGCAATAACATCATAAATAAACATAATGAAGCAACATTTTAAAAAGCAGTTAAGTTGTAATCAAGCTGTTTTCCGAGCTCAAAAATCCCAGCTCTTTCTACAGATGTAATCCAACCATTTTACTCTTTCCTACCTCCTCTGTGATGGTTTTAATTCCGGAAAGATCTTTCCCTTCTAGCTCTTCAAATGAGGAGCCGGCTTCCCCTGCGTTTCTGTGCCATGGAGTCAAGTATTCCAGAATTCCCCTGCAGCCCCCAAACCCAAAATGACTACCAGAAAAGGGGAAGCTGGCTCTTTTTGTCCTTGCTTTGTTTACAGAGCTGTCAGTGGTTAGTTAAACTCGGCTTGGAATCTGGCATTTAAGGCCTGCTTGAAGATTGTTTCCTGTGCGGAACGGGAGGCCTCCACTTCCTCTGGAATCCTAGACTCTCTGCTGCACTCGGATCACAAAAATATTTTCCAGCCCTTTCTGTGCACATGAAACGAGCCATTTGCCATGCATAAGAAAATAAGGAGCTGTACAAAATCTAAAGCCATCCCACCCGATGGCATCTTTGTCTGAAGAAGCAAAAAGCAAAACTTAGATTTTCAAAGCCAAGTTCAGAAACTTTCTTAAATAAATTGTCAAATTCTTTTATTTTCGAGGGTTTTTTTCCCTCTTAAAAAAACCCACAAAAACAAAAACAAAACCTCAGCCAACAAAAACAAAACTATACAATGTTTGAATTTTTTCCCCCCTTTCTTATCCTCTAGGGTATTATTAATACTGCTTATAAATCTTTAGAAATTCAAATCTTGGTGTTTATTTAGGGTTTAAAATTTTTGATCAGTTTTTCTATCTTACTCTTATCAAGAGTACTTCCCAAGGCTTTGCTAGTTCTGAAGGAAACAACCAGTTTTTTCTCTTATTATTTCATCAACCACAAAGAAATTTGTCTACATTTTCCAGCCTAATATCTCCATAATTATCAGCATGAAAAAAGTGACTTGAGGGTACTAAGTGACTAAGAGGCCATCTGAGGGTCTTTCTTCCAGGGCTGGGCTCCTGTTCCGACCACAGGGCGGGGGTGTGTGAGCACAGCCCGTGAACAGGAGGGTTCAGACTGGGTGCTTGAATGCTAGGTGCAGTGAGAGAGTAGACTCTTCTCTATGTTCTTTTATTGCATATAAACCCCCTCTTGAATAACTATAGCAACAGTAAACACAAATGGAAGAAAGTGGTCTGTCTGTAAGCAGACAATTTCACTTTTCATTTCCAAGGAGCTTGGAGAGCATCCTCTAATCCTCTGGTTCTTGCTCCTACCTCATCAAAGCCAAGGAGTCATTCTGGCTGCCTGTCAGCACGCAACAGGGGTTCTCGGCCTGTATCTCTGGCGGAGGTGCTAATGAGCAGTGAAATAAATATCTCCAAGCAGGCCCAAGACACACATGGTTTGCAGAGCCGGGCAGTATCTTGGAATGTTCAAAGGGAAGTGAAACTGACTAACGTGGTGTGGTCACTTGGCGGCTGACCATTCTCACTGTCTCTCGACCCACGCAAATTCTTCTTCTTCCATCTATTCCCTCCTCCTACTCCTCACCTTTTATTACTTACTTGGGCACTTTTTTTCTTTCCCAGCAGTAGAAAAACTACCGATCATTTGAATGCCGCTGCGTATCCATGTGGGGGCACCGAGGGGGCGGAGGAGAGTGGGAGTGTGAGCAGCGTGCTACTTCCTGCATCTACAGAGCACGCCTTTCTGGGTTGTGCTTTGTGCATGTGGGCGCGGGTGTAGCGGAGGGATAGGAGAGTGCAACAACACATCTGTGTACCGTGTGTTACGTCTCTCGGTTGGGGTGCGTGTGTGTGTGTGTGTGCGTGTGCATGTGTGTGCATGTCTTGTGTGGGGCAGAGAAGGTGTGTGTGTTTGTGAAAATGGCTTTTGGTTGGTCTCAACGCAGGATGGACCTGGAGGTCTTCCTTCATCCTCACACCCTTATATCACACAGCTTTTCTGAGTTCCTCTGGCACTGTTCTTTTGTGAGGGGAGCCGTGTCTGGCTAGAATTGCAAATGCTTTTTTTTCTCCCTCTTTTGGGAGCAGCAGCTTCCATGTCCCCAGCCAGTAATCCCTCATTTCCTCCCCTACCCCCAGTCGGTGCTGAATTCCTTCTAGCAACATTGGTTAGGAAACAAACTCCCAACCAATGAAGGAATGAAATGTCAAGGCCGGGAGATTCCATAAATTGTAAAGCTCTCCAGTGTCACAAATAGGCAGAGTAGCATGAAAGAGGTATGTACGGATGCATGTGACAGATGGGTTCTTGATAATTTTTATGAAAATCTTTTTTTTGTGCTCAGGGGATTGCGGTCATGCTATTGACAGGACTCTGATGTGACTCCTTTTGTAAAGTGGGGGACAAAAACCTGCCTTTACAAAGGCAGTTAAATCATTACCTACTGATACATCTGTCTTTTCAGTACGGATTCTCGTATACTGGATTTTCTTAAAATAGGGCTGCTGTAATCAATCAGGGAATAAGTTAGTATTACGGATTTCAAGTCACTCAACATACTGCCCTTCCTTTTGGTAACTAAGCCACAAAGCTCGGGGCCCAGGTGATCAGCACAATGTGACATAAGGTGTGCCCTGTATTTTACCATCATTTTCTGGCTTCCAGAACTTTCTTCTGTTCCCTTTCCTTCTCCCTGTCTTTCCTTGTCTGCTTCCCTTGAAGGATAGAATATTTACTGACATTTCTTCTGCCATCTCTTTTTTTATTTTTCTCTTTCTCAATCACTTCTTTTGTTCCTTCTCCATCTCCCTCCTAATACTGGGGATTAAAGTATATTTATATTTATTAAATCTAATTCATGATACTTTTTCTTTAAAAAATTGAGTTTAATGTGTGTCTTTCAACCAAGAAATCTACTATTATGTTTGTTTTTTTTTGAGACAGAGTCTCACTGTGTTGCCCGGGCTAGAGTGCCATGGCGTCAGCCTAGCTCACAGCAACCTCAAACTCCTGGGCTCAAGCGATCCTCCTGCCTCAGCCTCCCGAGTAGCTGGGACTACAGGCACGCGCCACCATGCCCGGCTAATTTTTCCTATATAGTTTTAGTTGTCCAATTAATTTCTTTCTAATTTTAGTAGAGACGGGGTCTCGCTCTTGCTCAGGCTGGTTTTGAACTCCTGAGCTCAAACAATCCGCCCGCCTCGGCCTCCCAGAGAGCTAGGATTACAGGTGTGAGTCACCGCGCCCGGCCTCCTATTATGTTTTATATTCAAAAAGTTGTTGGATTCCCCCCCAGGCATATGACCCTCACTATGGATATTTTCTGTGACTCCTTTATAAGGAGAACTAGTCTTGTTTCTGCTTTTGTTTGGGTCAGGGTTGGTGGCAGATTTTAGATGTGTATATGTGTATTCACACATGCTCAAACATGTGTAAATGCAGTCAAGAGAAGTTTGTGAGCAGGAGGCTCTCTAATCCAGCACTCAGTGATTGGGGGACAAGGCCATGCGGAGAAAGCTAAGTTCTATTTACTTTCTGGGCAGTGCCAATATTGGTCTTGGAATGCATCAAAAATAAAATCTGTAGTGTTAGGGGCACTGAATAAGTTAATGCAGCTGCCTCCAAAATTAACTAATATTTATTGATTATGTACTATGTGGTAGACCATTTTTTAAGCCCTTTAAATTTTTAATAAATAGGCTTTATTTCTTAGGGCAGAAAAAAACTGAAGAGAAAGTAGAGAGTTCTCCTATACTCCCTCTCCCCATCCCCTGCCCATGCTTTCTACTACATTTGGGTTGAATTGTGTCTTCCCACCCCCCCACCCCTGGCCAAAAAATACATATTAGAGTCCTCACCCCCAGTACCTCATGTGACCTTATTTGGAAATAGGGTATTTGCAGATGTAAAGATGAGGTTATTAGGGTGGACCCTAATCCAATGGGACAGTATCCTTATTAGAAGGGGAAATTTGGCACAGACAGACACGGGGAGATGCCATAGGAAGATGGAGGACAAGGAACGCCTGATGCCACCAGAAGCCGGGAAAGGGGCAGGGCACAGACCCTCCCCGAGCATCTTTGGAGGGAGTGTGACACCTTGATTTTGAACTTTTAGCTTCCAGAACTGTGGAACAATAAATTACTATTGTTCTAAGCCGATAAATTACTATTGTGGTACTTTGTTATGGCAGCCCAAGAAATGAATACATTCTATTAACACCTTGCAGTAGTGTGATGCATTTGTTACAATTGACAAACCAATATTGATACATTATCATTAACTAAAGTTCATAGTTTACATTAGGGGTCCTTCTGTGTTGTACAGTTGTATACGTTTTGCCAAATGCATAATGTCATGTATTCACTGTAACAGCATCATACAAAATAGTTTCACTGCCCTAAAAATCCCCCGTTCTCTACCTATTCATCCCTTCCCTCTCCTCAGCCCCAACACCTGGAAACCACTGATCTGATCTTTTTATG